TAACAACGGATAGGTAGAATAAAAAACCTATTTCGACGTTCAAAGGTTTGTATAAATTGTTGACCGGAATATAACAAAATAAAAGTATTTGCCGTGATTTTTAAAACATTTTTTAACGCGATTTTTTTTTTAACTTATTTCCTGCCCAAACCGAACCCCTTAGTCGAAGTATGTACACTCCTTATAAGCTCAACCTATTTAGTCAGTCGATGTATGGACACTCCTTGCATGTTGTACCTATTTTATTTGTCGATGGAGGTGCACTTCCTGTATGTTCTTCCTATTTAGTCAGTCGATGTATGTACAGTGTACATACATCGACTGAAGAACATACAGGAGTGTACATTATACACTCCCTGCATTAGGTTGGAGTAAAAACAAAATTTTTTAGAAACTCATATTTTCTCCCTGATTTCTATAATATTTATAGGAAAACTAAAAAAATGACACCAAGATGAACAAAATTGGACAAGAATTACCCCCAGCTTCAATTTTTGGACTATTTTAAACTAAAAGTTTCCAAATTTTCTACAATTAATACAGGCGTGGATCCAGCATTTTTTGGTGTTAAAGACAGCTAACTTCCAGACATGGAGCATACTTTAAATATTCATATGTTTATACTTACGTCAAATAGGAATGCTTTGCAAAAAATTCAAATTTCATAATCTCTCAGCATTCAAAAGTTATGGCCATATAAGGTTTAGATCCCCTTCAATTTAAGGAGGTCACAATTTTTATTTTGCTATAATTTTTTAACGATAAAAGAGTAATGAAATTTGAAATTTATTGGTGAATTCTAATTGAGCTGAGAAAAGTATAAAAAAATATGTTTAAAGAATGTTTAAAGTTTGCTCCATGTCTGGAAGTTAGCTATCTCTAAAAACAAAAAAAGCTGTATCCGCCACTGATTTAAATAATGATTATTAGTATCATTTTTTTCAAATGGATTAGTTTATAAACAGCTTATTTTAATAGAGTTTTAGAATGGAACAGGTGCATATAATACAAAATATTTACATTTATAGAGCAAAATTTGTACTAATTAGTGTTATAATGTGCTTTGGTATTAAATATTGGCATATTCTTCCTAGATTGTAGACGAACACGTATCATACCATTTCTATTTATCTCACCACAAACCAATGCGAAAACTTCTGTCACTATCTTTACACAACGTTCCACTGCTTGCGTGTGGCATGGTAACTTATCCAAAAGATCAGATGGTAGAATGCAATGCTCTTTTACCTCCTCCAACTGCTCGATAATGAGCTGCATTGTTAATGGTGGCTCCAACAGCTGCAAATTAATCCATCCAATCAACTCCCACATATTTTTTGCCATAAAATTCAGAGTAGGAACTTTGAACTGACGCACACTTGATTGATTAGCTTTCATAATTCTTTCTTTTCTAGGTCTCTGTATACGCCTAACACCTAATTTTCGGATATGTGGCTAATCATCTGATACCACTGCCAGAAGAATATTTTCTTGATGACCAAAAAATGCATTTTTTTAAATTACTTTGTCTCCTACTTTACGTAATGGAGCTAACAAATATCGTGATTTTGTAATTGTGCTGTACAGATGCCTGCTGCCATGAAAGATAGAAGACTCTTTCTTGATGATGAACCACATAGGAGCATAAACTCGCATAATGAACGTCAAAAACATTACCAACTTTTGACGAGGGACTGCTGGTAGAAGCATATATTCTGAGGATCCTATTGGCAGTGGTGAGCCACCTAGAATGAGTCAGTTTCCCAAGGCTGCGCTTCTCCAGGTTGGTAGAACAAATACCACTTAATACTGCTTGGCAGATGTCAAAAAGATAAATTGGATTTGTACTGAGCACTTTTCTGTCCACCTCTGACATTTCTACATTTCTCTGGTTTATAGGTTGAAAATAAACAACCTTTAAGACCTTAAAAGTTCAAGGGACTTTCCAGTTAAGCCTGAATAGCATCTAGGACCAGATGTTGGACGATCTAACTCTGCAAACAAATGGCGTAGTAGAAGCTAGTTTGCATGTAGCAAAAAAATTATCCTTTGCAGAGGCCGTTGAAGTTCTAACTCAATCAATCTTATAACACCACCCTTGTTCCCCGTGTTTATATTTGTTCCATCACAGCCCAGCACTTTCAAATTATCCAAAATTATGTTGATTACTGTATAATTGCAAATTTTAGTGATTCAGCTGCTCCGCTAAGAGGAGTGCAGTGTCCCAAGTAACCTCTTCCAGGTTCCTGAATTAAAAATATATATGCTCTTCCATCACTATGGTTCTCTTATTACTGTCAAATTTGAGTGGTTGGTCTTTTTTGCTATCAAAGTACAACGCCTTTACTTGGATTTCACCAACTTTATGGTTATCCCTTGTTTTTATGCGCTCATGTCTGATCTTGCTGCGGTCAATAATTTGTGTTTTGTCCAACTTTGCTCATCTTGGTCACATTTTTTTAATTTTCCTATAGTTATTATAGAAATCAGGGAGAAAATATGAATTTCTAAAAAAAGTTGTTTTCACTCTACCCTCTACATGTTCTACCTATTAAAGTTAGTCAATGTGTACACATTTCTTAATTTTTAAAATAAATAACAATTTATAAACAATATAACTTTTAATTACAACAATCATAGACAATACGCATAAAACTAGAAATAAATTCTTTAAAATGGAACATAAAAGTACACGCAAAAACATAATCGCGAGGAATTGATCGCGAGGTATTGATCCCGTTTCGGCGGTTTTCGGGAAAACGGAATTGCCAAAACTGTTAAAAAAACCTATTTCATTAATTTGATTCTTGTTTCATTTAAATCTAATATGCTGTTTTTATTTGTTTCTTGTAATTTTATTTATTGAAAGTTTCAACCTGCATAATGATTATAGTTAATCTAATAGCCTGCTGCTACAAGTAGTGCTGCTACATCGATTATCTTAAAGCCTGTTGCTAGAAGGGAGTGTTGCTTTAACGACAATCTTATAGCCTGCTGCTACAAAATGCTACAATGTAATTTTACTGGTACTTGGTTGTAAATTAAAGCGCTTTTGTTCAGAAAAAGATATAACTTTAACTGCTTCATTAAGAATGTCTTTTAAATCTTAGGAACGTGAATTTTCTCCCAACGTCTTTTGCACTTAGAGTTCAAGTTGTTTTATTTTTGCTTTGTTATGATCTTAATTATGGTTAAAAGTACACCCAACACCAAACATCAAGAAAAGAATATTATAAAAATAGAAAACAATGGTTATTAATGCTTAAACAAAGAGTAACCTTTAGGTTTGTTTAAGCATAAAGATATTATAATATCTTTTTAACTTATTATTATTTTGTATTTATTAACAAAGTTAATTGTAATAAATTCACTCTTATATCGCTAATAAATTCACTCTTATATCTTATCTGCAATTGATGCTGATTATCGTTTGGGTCTTGTTTTTTAAGTCTATAAAAAAATTTAATCAATGTATTAGTTTGTTTTTTATCTTCTCTCTCCATATCTGATTTGTGTTTTCTATTAAAAAAAAAAAATAAAAAACTCAATGGTTTCTTTTTTTCCGTCATGATGACTTAAAAACTTATTCTTTTAAATAATTAAGAGCCATTATCTGAGAAAGATAGGCAAAGTCTGGAAGTGATGTCTTTAAAATCTCTTTATTTTCAGATATCTTATAAAACACAATGAAATTAGGCCACAGTTAAATTTTTTTTTCGAAAACTCCCATTATTTGCGGAGATATCGGGGGGCCGAAATTTGGCCTATTTTGTAAAAATATTGGTGCATGAAATGGAGTTACTACTTTTAGGGACAATTTTAGCAATATGAACTTGAGAAACACATTTCTTTTTCTTTTTTCTATTACTCTAGCTGGATTTCTCTGCTTAAAATAAAAGTTCAAAATGTTTACACTTTTTTTTGTCTAGAAATCGCGGTTCAAAACCGCTAAATTTGAAATTTTACCCGTACTTTGACCATTTATATCTCCTAAGGCCATTACTTGCACATAATTTACTTAACTGTTTTTGAAAGCCAATAAGGTATACATTGAATTTATAGAAAAAAATTATGAGTATGCAAGAGCCTGAGAGAGAGTAAGCTTCCAAAAATGAATTTTCGCGGTTAATACGCTTTGTTAGATTACAAATAACAATCGTGGCCTTAGGTCTGTCATGAAACGTATAAGTTATTTTGTTACCTTATACATGCATCTTCCAATATCTGAAAAAAAATCCATGTGCTCAAGCGATAAAAAGCCTAGAGAAGTCCTAGAAATAGTCTAATTTGCCGTGGCGTAGTGGTTAGAGGTTTGGCTCAGAACCCAGAGGTCCGAGGTTCGATGCCAGCTCCAGCCCAACAAGCGACATTGGTACGGAAGGAGGCGTGAACTTCCTGTTAAATGCTCACCCGCGGTGCTCTATGATAAGATCGTAAGGACTTCTGGGAGCACCTAAATACATACAAAAAAAAAAAAAAAAAAAAAATTCTTAATCAACAAAATACCCTAGCAACGACATAGATATGCTTAGCAACGGCTACTTTTACTCTTTAATAGTTAGTTATCAAATTAAAAATAAATAAAAAATACATTTTTATAACAAAACTGTATAAACTGTACAAAAGTGCTTGATAAAAATTATTTTTTAAGCTTTTTTAATGTAACAAAATGCGCAACAATAGGTTCAAAGAATGCGATGGCAAAAGTGTAATAACCAAAGTAAGGAAGTGACATTAAAGATACTTTTTTTAATGACTATAATGATTGCTACACAAGCAATTCCCTTTGGGCAGTCATTTGTAATACTTTCTTTAGACAATTATTAATGATTGCAAGACTATTTCCTTGGAGACACATTCTTCTCGAAGAATTAATGATTGCTACACAAGCAATTCCCTTTGGGCAGTCATTTGTAATACTTTCTTTAGACAATTATTAATGATTGCAAGACTATTTCCTTGGAGACACATTCTTCTCGAAGAATTATGAATTTAATAAA